CAGGCTGCTTGCTCCCAGGGCAGCGCGGAGCCTTGAGGTGGCCCTGCGGGCGCTTGGAAGGGGCGTTTCGCTGTGAACGACCCGTTCGCCGCACAAAAACGGTCTAACGGGAAGTTCATTTGTGGACGCAGCGAGCTGCGTTTGGGCTGCTCCTAACTAAACCCACCATCTTCCCTTCCCTTCCAGCTGCTGCTGAATTCCTGCCGGCGCTGTTCTTCAGGGATCCTTCCCAACGAGAGGATCCGCAACATTGGGATCTCGGCCCACATCGACTCGGGGAAGACGACGTTGACGGAGCGAATCCTCTTCTACACGGGCAAGATAGCGCAAATGCACGAGGTGGGGTTCCAGAGCCCCCCAGCGTGGGCTGAGTGTGCTGGGTGCCCCCACGACGTTGCTGTCCCTTGTTTGTCCAAGCGGTGAGGTGTGGGGGTGAGGGGGCTGTGCTGGGTGGGGCCCGTGAGATGGTGCTGGCCATGCTGGGGCCTAAAAATCTGCTGGTTTCCCTGATACTCCTTAAAAATAAGTGGAAGGCAAGGGGGTAGGAAGTAACGCTTCCTTTAGTGCAGTGTTATCCCTCTTTTGCAACACTTCCGGTCTTAATTCTCCCTTGCCATCTGCATAGTGAACATACGATGGAATATACGTGTTTATTTTGACGTAGTCAAAGATGACTCTGGGAAACAGCAAACGTAGGGATGTAATTTTTAGCTTCAGGTACGTTAGCTTGTTAAATTCACAGTGAAGCATAATTTGCCACAGATTTCTGATAGCCATTTTTGGGAATGATCCTCAGGAGAGCAAAATACCTTGAGGTTGCAGGTGCAGCTCCAAAAAAAACTCAGCCTTGCGTGTAATTCTGCTCTGTCTGCCTTCCTTCTGTGCATGAAGCGTGATGCTGAGTGTACAGAGCATCGCTCCCACACATGCAAAATTCTTAGTCAGATCCTTTGGTCTGACTGAGTTAATTAACTGTGGTTAATCCTTTTATTTTTCTTCTTTCCTAAGGTGAAAGGTAAGGATGGAGTTGGAGCTGTCATGGATTCAATGGAGCTGGAGCGACAGCGTGGAATCACGATTCAGTCTGCAGCAACGTACACCATGTGGAAAGACACCAACATCAACATCATAGACACACCGGGTGAGGACAGTTCTGAGCCCACTGAGGTCGCTGTGTCTGTATGTGCTGCTCCTTCCCCCTGTACAAAGAGCGCGGTGCCGTCTTCGTGCTCGTTAGGCGCCCGGGTTGAGCGAACGTGACTCCTCCTGTGCAGCTGGATCTGATTCTGTTGGCTGTCGTGCTCTGCACGCATGAGAAAACAATTGCTCGTTTTCCTTGTATCATCTATGGATAACGGAGGGCTTTTTGGTTATTCAGGACACGTGGACTTCACAATCGAGGTGGAGAGATCGCTGAGAGTGCTCGACGGAGCTGTTCTGGTTCTCTGTGCAGTGGGAGGAGTTCAGTGCCAGACGATAACTGTGAACAGGCAAATGAACCGCTACAGCGTGCCCTTTGTGACGTTCATCAATAAACTGGACAGGATGGGCTCTAGCCCGACCCGAGCAGTACAGCAGTTGAGGTAGTTACAACTCAGGTTGTTTGTATTTCATAGAATCACAGAAAGGTTTGGGTTGGAAGGGACCTTAAAGATTATCTAGTTCCAACCCCCCTGCCATGGGCAGGGACACCTTCCACCAGACCAGGTTGCTCCAAGCCTCATCCAGCCTGGCCTTGGGCACTCCCAGGGATGGGGCATCCACAGCTTCTCTGGGCAACCTGTCCCAGTGCCTCACCACCCTCTCCATGCAGAATTTCTTCCTGATATCTAATCTAAACCTCCCTGATTTCAATTTATACCCATTAACCCTTGTCCTGTCACTACAGGCCCTTGTAAAAAGTCCTCTCCCAGCACCCTTGTAGGCCCCCTTCAGATACTGGAAAGCTGCAGTGAGGTCTCATTGCATATTTGTGAAATATTTCTGAGCTTTTCACGTAGATTGATACTAAGAATTTCAAAAAGCATTCTCGTGTGGGGTCTGTAGTCACAGTTTTCAGAGGATAATACCCGACTCGAGGCTAAATCTTAACCTGGCCTCTAACAAGTGTCTATTTTCTCAAGAACAGGGAAGGTTTGTGTCAGCCCAGGCGTGCAGTGACTGAGACCTGGGGGCTTGATACTTATTTTGTTGATGGGACTATATTTGGAGCCACTCTGAAAACAGCCTTTTCGTTTTTCCTAGATCCCAGTAGCTGATGTGCCATAGCTGGCAGCAGCGCGATGACACAGGGTTGGGTGGTTTTTAGTTCGGACACAGAAGTCCTGCTTGCTCCCTGCCCACACTCTGCCTGTGCCTGATTTCATCCATGAGAAACGTGCATTAATGTGCATTGAGGGAGAAGCAGCTCCTGTAATCAGGTTATTAATCTGGAACCAGCTCGCGCTGCCTCCTTTCCCACGGCAGTTGCTCGCCGTATCTGTTGGGATGTAGAGGGCTGGCAGTTGCGCTGGTTAAAATGCAACTAGGCGTTTTTTTTGTCAGTGTTGGTAGGTTTTTGGCAAGGTCCAAAGAACAGAAGTCAGTGATACGTTGTAGGAGTGGGACGTTGTTCAAAGACCACCTGGAGCACGTATATGGAAATTACTTTTTTCCTTGAACTAATATCTCTTTGCTCACTTTCTCAGGTCCAAGTTAAAACACAATGCGGCTTTTGTTCAGATACCAATCGGGCTGGAAGGAAACTTTAAAGGAATTATAGATCTTATTGAAGAAAGAGCTCTATATTTTGATGGTGCGCTTGGGTAAGTTTTGAAACGTGCGTGTTTCTCAGCTGGACCTAGGCTTTTTGTGAGTAGTGCTACCTGTAGTTTCCGGTCAGAGATGAAAAAACCTGCTGTTTGGAAAATTAGGGATGTGGCTTGTGCTGGGGCTGAGGTATTGCCCTCCAGCTTCCCAAGTGTCCACGGGGTCAGGTTTAATGATGGGGAGCTGCAGTATGTGCTGTTTGCTCACCTCAGCAGTGCGGCGGGGTGGCCACGCTTGCCACCCTGAGAACCAGGAGACTTGCTTTGTAACGGGAACTGGTAGTGTACGTTTGGCACGAGCTTACTGGGATGAAGATAAGATGTGGGTGAGGTTGTTGAACAGGTTGTCCTGCATCCTTGCAAACTCTTGCTGTGAGTGGGGAGAAACCCTCTCTTGCTAAATCATCAAAGATGATGCATTGATCATCCCACGTGATTTCAGTCTGCTTGTCAATGGTGAGTTCTTGTTGGTCAGGCTGGTTGGCACAGAGATTAGTGGTCGATTCCTGTGGTATTCCTTTGGAGTGGTTATGTTCCTTATCTGTGTGCAGCCAGACTGTTCGGTATGATGACATCCCGGCAGAGTTCAGAGCTGAGGCTGCAGAGAGACGTCAGGAGTTGATCGAGTGTGTTGCTAACTCCGATGATCACCTTGGGGAGCTCTTCTTGGAAGAGAAGATTCCTACAGCTGCTGAGCTAAAGGTAAGTGTAGTGTGGTTGTTCTTCCCCTAGCACTGCTACCTTGTTCTTCCGTGTCCCTGTCCCCCCTCACCACCCTGCCTCCCCCAGATCAAAATTTCTTGAAGTCTTGGAGGAAATGTTGTTTGCTCGAGTTGAGTGTCAGCTCCCACGGGTGGACTCCTGGTTGAGGGCCCATTCCAGGCTTGGTTTTTTGATTTGCATTGGGAAGTCTGAGCTTGTGCGTGCCCTTTAGTGAGAAGCGTGTGGCTCAAAGGGACATCTGGTAGCGTGTCATTCTGTTGCCTCGCCGAGTTACAGCCTCATGGCTGCGACTTTCTTCACGTCCCAGGGCAGGTCAGTTGTTGAAGCGCTGTAAGTTGTCTTTGTGCCTTGGAAAATCAGCCTTGGTTTGTGTTTGAGTGAGGGGAGCAGTGTGCTAGGAGGGAGCTGGAGTGACTTTACTTGAAGACTTCAAAGGAAATGAATTCAGGCCAAAATACAGCTTTCAAAATAGATGGGAATTGCATCTCTTGGAAGAGGGAAGAAATCGATGCATGATTTATTTCGTGAAATGCCTCAGGTACCAAGGGGCCGCAGAAAGATGCTCACTGGAGTAACCAATAACACTGTTTCCCAACATCAGATGGGCTGTACGCTGACATTTATCTGTTCTCCAGACAGTTTGGTATCGCTGTTTCTTCAAGCACGGCTCCACGTAGTAGAAGGCGGTCGGGAGGTCTGGGAAGGTGAGCTGCTGTTGTGCAGTCTTCCGTGCCACCGCTCGCTCCAGTGGAGCTGCCTTGTGCTGTTCCACGGAGGCTGGCCAGCAAACGCCTGCTTTCAGGCTCTTGTCAGGCAGACTTGGCAACCTACCCACAGCGGGTTGTTAGGAGGGACGGCCACCCCTTCTCTGGGGGTCGCAGTTGACTGCCGAGGCCTCTTGAGTTTCGGTGGTACGAGCTTTAGCCAGGACAGGTGCAAAAGCTTGGCTGTCCTGGCGTGAGCACGGGGGCCTGTGCCGCACGTGGACCTGCCTCCGCTGTGCCGTGAGCGAGAAGGCCATCTGGGGACACCCGCCCTTGGAGGAGTGCTGAGCTGGTGTGAATTTACTTCACAGCCCCGGGGCTGGGTCTGTAACTCAAGACAGGGACGTTTTTGCCCTTAATGCACGCTCAGTGCGAGGATTTGTGTGCTGCGTCTTGCTGTTTGCCACCGCCTCCTGCTAGCGTCGGAAGTTATCGAGCAGTAATCTTCTAGTGCCTGATGTTAATAGTTATTAATTAGTCAAACACTGAAACTGCTACTGTAGAGGAGCTTATTCAATGTGATTTAAAAAAGTGAGGTCCGAGGAGCATTGCAGGCAGAGCCCTTTTCCTCAGGGCTGCTGTTGGAACGAGAACAGCTTGGCTTTGAGTGGCGGTGCTGCACGGAGTCTCCCTGGAGCCTGCCTGATGCGGCACTTGCTGCCTCCTTTTCCTTTTCTTTGCCAGCAGCTGGGGGCTTGGGTTGGTCATTCCCATAAATCTTACAGGCAGGAGCTGTTTCTCCTGAGCGGAGCCGGCTGGGTTCGAGGCAGATGTGGTTGCAGAGGTTGCTACTTTAAACGAAGCCTTGATGTTTAAGTCCTCTTCGAGGTATCTGGCCCGCTCGCAGTGCCTGGTTGCCTCTGTGCAGTAGTCCTTTCCCTGCCAGGGCTTGCACGGCTTGCTTTCCTGCAAGTTTCCCACGCTGTCTGTTGGGATACAGAGGACTGGCAGTCCCTCAACGCTGATGGCTGTGTAAGTCCCCTTAAGGGTTATTTATTTGAACCTTCCCGAACCTTAAATTTTGATTGCTTTGCTACAGCCCTTGGGTTTGGAGGTTTGTTGTTTGGGTTTATTTTTTTTAATTGGTGTGGCTGTGGGGGTGATTTACTGATGATTAATGTCTCTGGGAAGAGTATACTAAGCAAACGTGTCTCTTACTGGTAACCAGGCCTTTAGTTATTCCAGTAATTAAATAGCATTTTATTCGTGTTACGAAGCAGCCCTTCTCGCTTTGATGGACAGACATGTAGTAGCAATTTGAGACCCATAAGGATCTGTCCCTCTCCTGGCAGAGGGAATGGTACCAATGTGAATACACTGTCCCGCTGTAAGAGGTGAGAGATTTTTAGCAGGAAGCTATTTTTGATAGCTCCTGCTGGGAGGGAAATCTGTTACCAAGATAAATTTGTCTATTCAGCATGACTCTGCTTCCCACTTCTGAAAGCCAATTAATTACAGCTCGAATGGCTGGAGTATTGCAGATGCAGGTTAATTTGTACTAATACGTCCCTGAAGATGGATTTTCTTTCAGTGGCCAGCAGCCAAGTTTCCCCTGAAAATATCGTTTTGCGGGAATGATGTTAAGTATCGCTCCTGGATGCCACAGTCATAGGAGATGATGTTTACTGACGATCAGCTGCTTAAACATCACCTCATTTGCTGCTGCCCATAATGCTGCACTCAAGGAACTGATGTGCCCCAGGTACTCAGTGACAATAATCTTAACGTGAAAGTCAGATTACTGTTTTCCCCAAGATAACAGTTAATGAGGATAAATTGCAGTCACGTGACCTCGTTTGAAAGCGCGGCTGAATGAAAACACCGGGCATCAGCACGGCCGACTTCCAGCACGCTGGGATGTGAGAGCAGCGGGGGGCGAGATGAACAGAACTGCCAATGTAGTATTTTTTTCCTCCTTGTATTATTTTTATGAAGTTGTTATATCAACAAATTTAAGGAACCACTGTTCTCTCTTAATTATGAAGAGCCACTGTTCTTTCTTAGTTATGAAGATAGCTTACCCGTCTGTCGTTGGGTCCACTGAGTAACTCCTGGGTTGGATGGTGTGGTTAACTCTCGTGGCTGTCAAGGAGAATTCGTTCTTTTAGCTCATCAAAGAAGACTGGAGCAGCTTTCCATTGGAGTGAGGGCCTCCGTAAGCGTAGGGAGATGGCTTCCCCTAGTGGCAGGGAGACGGAGGTGGGAATCTTGGCTTCAGTAACTGACTGCAGGGGCCTGAAAGGAGGCACGTAGCTGCTGTCCACCTTGACGGGTGACGCCTTGTTACGGACGCTGCTGGTGCTCGGTTACGCTGTGATGTGCGATGCTTGGGTGACGGGCAGCGGATAAGCACGAGGTGACTGTGCAGTCTGTTCATCCTGCTCACTTTGCTAGGATGTCCCGGAACGATTCCCAAGGCAGTTGGTGCAACTTCAGCAGGTCTGTAGGTGAACGTGAGCAGTTCTTATGTTGTGCTCGCAATCCATTCTTCTTCAAAAAATGAAGATGGATTGAGCATGGCCCTTGCCCGCATATCCCTTCCCTACCTCACTCCCTCTTTCAGGAGAGTTTTCCATGATTAAAAGATACTGAAGTATCTCATTTTACTTTCACAACTTTACATGTGTATTGTTTCCAACCTAAGTAAATAGGGAAAGGGACCCGTCGGAACCAGAAATTAAGAATCCTGACTTTACCAGCAGAGAATCAAGAAACAACTTCTGAGTATTGTGGCATTATCATTATGTTTATCTTAACCATTTTCTTTTTTAAGTTGAACTTAAGATGAGGGGAAAATAAAATATCTCAGACTTAGTTAGAATTCTAGTGAGCCAGTTTTATGGGAAGCTCTTGTGTAGGGGGTTGTGCAGGAGCTGTGAGGGAGCGGCTGCTTTACTCCAGGAGTAGAGATAACCAGCAAAGAGAGAGAATCTGGACTGTGCTTGGTTAGTAACTGCATCAGGAGCCTGAAGTGTTGCAGGAGTAACGTGTGATGTCTTCCAGCTTGCGATCAGAAGAGCAACACTGAGGAAGTCCTTCACCCCAGTGCTGGTGGGAAGTGCTTTAAAGAACAAAGGAGTACAGCCGTTGCTGGATGCCGTCCTGGACTACCTCCCCAATCCTTCAGAGGTGGAGAACTATGCTATTCTGAACCAAGGGTGAGTATAGCTGTGAGCATGCGAAGCAGTCTCGCAATCCGGATTCGGAGTAGTGTGGTGCAGAGCAGGACACGTCACTAACAAAGCGCACAAGTATTTACTCTGTGTATTAATTATGCAGACTTCCAAACTGAAGAAAGCTCATCTCTCATTTGAGGGTTATTGTTCATACTGCTTTTTTAACACACGTTAAATGTTAAACTTGAAAAATTATTATGTGATGAGAGAGCTCCTTAGAAACTAATGGTGACCCTTCAATCCATGCCTGCAGCAGAGGAGAGAGCACATCTGAAATGTGTAAATAACGTTTCATTCTTTGGGCATGTTTATTGAAGCAGATGTGCCTTTGCAGTTAGGAATCGTGAAACCCAGCACTGGAGCCAGTCCGTAACCCTGAACATTCCAGTCCATTCCATCAGGTCTTTCTAACGGGTCGGAGTTGTTCAGAGAATAGCTAAATAGAAATTATGCTGATAAATAGAGTTGATGACTGTTTCTCCCAGCGGTACCTGAGTCTTCCAGCCCTCACTGCTGCCGTGCTTCCCGCTGCCCCTAACTCCTGCCCTACTAGGACAGACTAAACCTTCTGACGTGGCTCACTGTGTCCGGAAGAGTCACTGCACTGTCTCTTTGCTCTGAAACTGGCCTTGCTCGCCAGTTGTGCCCGAATGTGTGATTAATGGCTTTCATGGCAAAGCAGTTGGGTGATAGGAAGGACTAGTGGTGTTTGTCATAGCTTTGACCTCCTTTTGGGGACCTGCTGCAGTTTCTCGACGATACGTAGCTCAGAAAGTATGTGAGCATCTGTAAGTCTCCGTTATAAACCTGTGAAACTGAAGGGCCTTGGGACTTCCTGAGGCTGGGCTCACGTTTAGAAGAGGCTGCCGTGTTAGATTCATAACACAAACACCCTCTCCATCTCTCCTTTTAAGGGATTCCGAGGACAAAACCAAGTTCCTGTTGAACTCCGCTCGAGACAACTCCCAACCTTTCATAGGCCTTGCTTTTAAACTGGAGGTAAGCTGTTCATGTTTTCTTTTCCCGTGCAGCAAAACCAGTAGGGGAGCAGGGCAGTTCCCCCAAGAGCTGTTGCTGTGCCTGAGTGTCTAGAGAGCAGATGCCCAGAACGTCACCCAGCTGCCTGGATTCAGTTGCGTGCAAGGTTCCCGTGCTGCACTTACGTGGAAGAAACTTTAAAACTGGTTTGTTGGAGTTCAATTTAAATTTAACTTCTTTAAACAAACCAACCAACCAACCCAAATTTCAACCATAAAATCCACAAATATGTCAAACGTTGCCAAAATTTGGAAGTTTTAAAATGCATTATGTGCCTCAAACTCTTGATGATTTTTCGTAGTTAAAACCTGGGGGGGTTTGTTGGCTTATTTCAGATACTTTCAGCGGAAATCCTGGTTTTGTTTAAAGTTAAAAACAATGGAATGTGAGGGAGATAGAGAGGAAGAAGTACAGTGAAAACCAAACGAGTTGTTAGCTGCCCAGGGAGCAGCAGCTCAGGTTTTCAGATGGAAAGTGGCTGGGCAGGTTGCTCGTTAACGTATCCCTCTGTTGGGAAGGTTTAGCACTGGTAAAATTGGAGGAGTAAAGAAAATGGGCAGGAGATGGCGAGTTCCATTGCAGAGCCGGGTGAAAGCTGAGACTACGTTACAGAATGTTTCATTTAGGTGTCCGCTGTTTAACTTCTGAAGAAACATTTGGTCAGTCAGTGCAGATCTTGCTTTGAGTAGTAGCGCTCCTGACCCCCAGATGGTTTATATCTGCTGTCTAATGAACTTTGATTCCAGGCTGGCCGTTTTGGGCAGTTAACTTACATCCGAGTTTATCAGGGGATGCTGAAGAAATCTGATTATATCTATAACACCAGGACTGGGAAGAGAGTGCGTGTCCAAAGACTTGTCCGTATGCATTCAGACAACATGGAGGTGAGTGTGGGAGCCACAATCCACATGGAACAGGTTTCCCAGAGAAGCTGTGGACGCCCCATCCCTGGGAGTGTCCAAGGCCAGGCTGGATGAGGCTTGGAGCAACCTGGGCTGGTGGAAGGTGTCCCTGCCCATGGCAGGGGGTGGGACTGGGTGGGGTTTGAGGTCCCTTCCAACCCAAACCATTCTGTGTAGCTTTGCATCCTTGCCCTAGAGCAAGACAGCATCCAAGCTGAGGTCCCCTTTTTGTGCACATGCTTTGCATAAATAGATGGAAAAATTGCAGAGCATTTTATCAAAGCTGGAGCTTAACTTCAGGCTTTTAAACACGGTGTTTATATCTCTGCTTAAAACCGGGTGCAGTTTGTAATATATCGTTTGGTGTTAGCTAAACAGTAAACTCTTCTTCCTTAAGGATGTCAGTGAAGTTTACGCGGGAGACATATGTGCATTATTTGGAATTGACTGTGCCAGTGGGGATACGTTCACTGATAAAACCAGTACTGACATTTCCATGGTGAGTAAGTACCCCTTTTCATCGTCGTGCCTCATGGCATTTACCAGGATTTGGTTGTCAAAAGCTTTTAATCACTTGTTCAGTTGAAATACGGCTGGATGTATGTGCAACTGCAAATACTTCTGGTGGTTATTTGTTATGCCTCAAGGAGCCTGAATAGGTAGACGTGTGGTATGTGCAGGTGACACACACCTCTGCTCCGCCTGACATCAGATGTGATTTCAGTGTTAGCACGCCGTTCTGGGCCGTGAGATGTGGATGCTGCTACTCAAACACTGAACTGTCTTTGTATATGTACTTAATTACATCCATTTTACTTACATATGCATTTAGAAAATCTGATAGGAAGCAGAGTCCCCTAATGAGTGTGAAATCCAGAGGTCACTTTGCACCTAGGGCATGGTGTTGGAGATGCTGTGGTTGGCGGTACGGCATGTGTTGTCACAGCTGGTAGTAACCCTCAGGAGAGTTAGGTAATCTGGTTGTGCTCTAGTATTAGATACAAGCTAAATAAGTTAAACAGTCATCCCTGTTTGTGACCCAGAGTTCTTGTGACCACACTTTTCTGGAGAAATTACATCACCGGGTGTAGGGGGACTCAACTGTATCATCTCTTGTTTGTGGCTATTGCAGGAATCGATCCACATCCCCGATCCTGTCATTTCAGTAGCTATGAAGCCTTCCAACAAGGTAGGAGCCTATCAGCCAACCTTTTTATGAGCCAGTTACCTTTCCTTTGCTGCTTTTACCATTTACTAGTGAGGCACTGGGACAGGTTGCCCAGAGAAGCTGGGGATGCCCCATCCCTGGGAGTGTCCAAGGCCAGGCTGGATGAGGCTTGGAGCAACCTGGTCTATGGAAGGTGTCCCTGCCCATGGCAGGGGGGGGGACTGGATGGTTCTTAAGGTCGCTTCCAGCCCAAACCGTTCCGAGTCTCTGATTTTACCCAGGCTAGCACTTAAATGTGGAACCACAGACTAAAATGAGCAGTGTTATAAAACGTCCTGTCCAGAGTACTCCAAAGATGTTCAGATAACCCAGCATGTGGCTGCATTCGACGGCATCACGTACGTAGCGTGAAGCAGATGCATGTCTCTGACCTGGGTAGACGTGGACTCGATGTAGCCGGAGGGATAAATGCAGTTATAAATGTATGGCTGTGTTTCAGAAACAAACTCACGAGAGTAGAAGTGCTGAACAGTTAAAAGAAAATCCGAGACCTTCGTGGCGTGCCTTCTGGATGTTAATGTTTTCTCATGTCTGCAACTGTTTTCCAGAATGACTTTGATAAATTTTCCAAAGGCCTGAGCCGCTTCACCAGGGAAGATCCCACTTTTAGAATCCATTTCGATGATGAGAGCAAAGAGACCATCGTTTCTGGAATGGGGGAGCTGCACTTGGAAATCTATGCCCAGGTAATTTGGAAAGCAGATTCCATGCACTCTGCTTTTGACTGTTTTCCCCAACCAAGACTTCTCCTTCCCCTCTGGCCGAGACCAAAATCTCTCTGCAGATGGGCTGATGCCGGCTTTCACGCCCAGTTTTGTAACTGGGTGCCTCTGGGCACGTCAGGTTTACAGGGTGTTTGGAGGTGTCCAACTCCAGTTGCTCTTGTGTAAATCCAGGTTATCACAGGACAGCAGCGTTGAGAACTTCCTAGGAAATCCGGGTTCTCACATTTGAGATCTCCCTAGCAGAAAGCACCGTGTCGCTCACGTGAGCAGAACGAGCTGCTTAGGGGGGAGCTTAGCTGCTTAATCAACTTTTAAAGATTCTTTCTGTCCAGTGGTTCTATCTGAAGGCTTGTAATCTTCTTAAATGAAACTTGTGCCTGGAATATTTGTACTTTTTGGTTCAAATCCATAAAATTCGTTGTGTTAAGCACTACACTTGGCTTTAGCAGCCTTTGCTTATAATTAACTTTACCGTTAGCCATTTCCTGCGGGAGAGAGAAATATTATTTTGCTGTGTTCTTAAATGTGTCATTCCATAATAAGAGACGATGCAGGCAGGAGGATGCTTCTGTGATTTATTTGTTTCTTTCAAGCTGATGTCTAGACTTTATTTTAATCTAACACAACAGATGTGTCTGAAATGTTGACAAAATGAAGAAAAGGTGGCTGTTGTTGTGAAAAACTTAGCATTGAGTAAAATAATGAATGCTGTTCCCTTTTTCTACCTCTAAAGCCACCAGCCCAAACAAGGATGACTGCAGAATGACAGTGAACAATTCGTAACATTAAAAAAACCCAACAATCCCCGCTCACCAAGACCCCAAAAATCAATCCTACCCCAAAAATCAATCCGGCCCCAAACCAAAAAACTGATTATGTTTCTCATTTCCGAAAGATCTGTAAATAAAATAATTTCCCCTGGACGGTTCCAGAGGAACACCTCTGTTCCATTCTGCCTCTCTCTTCCCCTGCAGCGAATGGAAAGAGAATACGGTTGCCCGTGCACCATGGGGAAGCCGAAAGTTGCCTTTAGGGAGAACATCGCCGCAGCTGTGCCGTGAGTATTCCTTCTGGCAACAGAGGTTTTTACTAGTTCTTCTGATGCGGCGTTTGGTTACGCAGCAGAGAAAGTGCCTTTTGGGTTATCAGATCAAAGCACAACGTCCAGGATATGTTTAATTGAGGAATGACTTCTTCCTTTGTGCCTTCATCAGCTCCTCTGCCCTCCCTCCAAGTGCTCGTTGTAGTCTGTGAGCTGCTTCCGGTGCAGTAGGGGGTCGGTTACGCCGATGCGTGTTCTGGCTGACGGCTCTCCTGTGTTACCTGAACACCGTGCTGTGGGTGCCACTGAACTGTCATTTGCCAGGGAATGATCTCCTGTGGGTAGGAAATACAACTGTAGAAAGCCAGAAGGTGTTTCTTTCACCAATACCGAACGGGCACTGTCTGCTGTACCACAGCCAGACCTGGGCTGATCCTGAGTAGGTTGGATCAAGCCCCAGTAAGAATGCAGGGCAAGCACCAACAGTCCTGCTGAGCTGTCAGCTTCCCCTGCAAGCTTTTTTTCAGCCTGTATTGCTGCTGCAACTACATTTTTTATTCCACTTAGGCAAGTTTTGCAGCTCAAGCATCTCTGCATTGGATTTACCCTTCTTCCTGTTAGAGCTATTGATGTTTTGGGACACTGAGCAGAGAGCACAATGAAGAACACGTGCTTTTGTTCTGCAGTAGGTTCTCAGGGTTTTTTCTTCATAGAAAACCCAGGAACTAAAACCACCATAGATGCCCCAATTTAACTGAGAGGGCAGTGGGGCAGGAAGCAGTGGAGCTAGAAGTGGGAGTGAGATCTCTGTTATCAGTGGGAGATTTATTCCAGGAGGTTGCACAATCGAGAACGCCTTTCAAATTTTCTGTGTTTTTCTTAGGAAAACACTTGCTCAGATCACAAAATTGCGATGGAGAGTAGCCTACACAGCGTTGAGAATGTGCTGTGTATGTGTAAGTTCTAAATATTGTTCTGGGAACGAAAGTTCCTGCTGCTTTCTTCTGTGAGCTGCTGGGGGAGACGATGCCTCTGTGTGCTGGCCCACCACTGCTCTCCTCTAGGGCAGGAGCACCGCAGCTCCAGCTGGAATGCGGTGAAGCAGTCCAGGATGCTGGCAGCTCCTTCTTCCCTTTATCCCTGGCCCATTCAGCAGTAGTATCTCCCGGGAGAGCTGTGTATCACCAGTAACTTGAACCTCTGCCATTCCCAAGAAAGCCAGAAAGGGCTTTTTAGAAATAAGACTTTACCTGGGACACCATTTCGTGAAGTAGAATCGTGTAGTCAAATTCAAGATACTCATCGCTTCTTTTCTGGAAGGACAAGGTGAAAAGGGGTGAATGTAACTGTTCTCTCTGGTTATCGCAAACATTGTGATGTATTTCGAATGAAACTCGCAGCTCATGTTGGCAAATGAAGCAGACAGAGCTTAGCCACTATTGCAAACAAAAAGACACTGGTTTGTGTTTCTGTGAACTCCAAAATTGCATTTGAGAGACTCAATGTGAAGCTTTAACCTGTGCTAGTTCCTCCCTTAAAGAAGGTAGATATTCTCGACTTCAGGAACTCGTTTGGGAAGGGAGCTCCCAATTCTACAAGGTGTCAGTTTAACCCAGATAATCCTAAATAAAATAGTCAACAGGGTAAGATTCGGAAGACACTGCAGAGGCCTTTCAGCAGATAACAAGTTATCAGTGACTGTGAGCGACACAAAAACCCCTTTACGTACCTATTCTTCAGGGAAAAGGAACAAAAGGACTGAAAAGAGGTGACAGCTGCTTTGGTTGAATAGTCTCCTGCCTGCCTTATCCTTAAATTCATCAGGTTTGTTAGGGTTAAAATCCTGCCTGTGCACAGCCCTGCAGCATCCGTGAACTGCTTTCGGGCAGCCATCAGAGGGAGCAAAACACCAACAAATGGGGCTCCCAGGATGAGTTTCTGCCTTTCCCTCATACCAGAACTTCCTGCGAAGTCGCTGGCTGTTTCACGTGGCCAAATGTGCGCTCAGCGAGTCTGTTCCAAAGACTCCTGATCTGCTGGGGTTTCCAAATGCGAAGTCCTGCTGCTTTGTTCTAGCTTACATACTAAATTTCCTTGAGTCTAAAGCCGACCATCCTTCCGGGAGTTGTTCTTAACTCACCGTGTATTCTCTCCAAATAAAACAAGAACTGCGAGAATCTATAGAATTCGGTTAATTTGAAAACAATACCAAAACCTTTGCTCTGATGATGACTTTTCTGAAAGCAAGCTGCCGTATCAGTTGAGGTAGGAAGTCTGCAAGGCCTGCTGACAGTGGCAGCTGATGGCTCAGTTTGATCAGCTATGGAGAGATTTGCTGGTCATAGGCATTTCTTAGGTGAGGGCAGATCCAGATCTGCTCAGGATAAACACAGCACTTGAGGGCAGATCCAGATCTGCTCAGGATAAACACAGCGCTTGTAACCACTCAGAAATAAGTGAAAATGGAAAATATTTTGTCCTGAAGTATTCTGTTTCCTTTCTGTCTTGTGACATGTCTACCTGAATTCAATTTTCATGTCACAAACTTGTGTTAGCAGGCTGAGCATCGGTTAAGAGTAGGAGTTTGGCTCCAATGGAGTGAATTTGTGAAGTTACATCAGTTTTTTCTTGATTTTAGCATTTTGAGGGGAGCCAGCACACGGGTGGAGCCTGCAGTACTGCAAACAAAAGCCGTGTAGATTGTGCTTTACTGAATCTGAGGTGCAGCCCATGGCTGTGTTTAGACACTGCCGTCGCCAAGACACCAAGCAGCGTTGCTGTGACGGATCACGGTGCAGGTCAGGAGATAAAGGGCAGTATTCCAGTACACGTTAGGCAGATGCAGGAATACGGTCAGCTGGGTTTGTGCTGCGGACAGAAAGCAGCAAGGTGATCTAAAACCGTAACCAACGTGATGACCTGCAAGAGGAAGAGTCAGTTCTCTTCACTAAGCGTGGAATACTGCTGTTGCTGAGCAGACACAGCTTCTATAAGCAAAACTTACCAGGAGGAGCAGTGATTGAAACAAACACTCAGGCCATCAAAGCCTTCATGATGTGCAAGGGAAACAGAAAGCAAACACTGGCTTAAAAACAGACCAGACCAGACCAAGTTCAGACCCAGTTGAGGGTTCTTGCTTAAAAACTTGGCTTCGGCTGTACATTGCGCAGCCCCTAAATGCTGTTTTTCTCGTGGGGCGTTGATGGTAACTTACCACTTGCTTCACACGTTTAATTTGGGCGAGTTGGAAGTTGGTGTCTTCCGTTGAGTTCTGCCATATCACGTAGCCAGAGGCAGCCCACGCTAGCAGGCGGACGGGCTCCATCTCTGGGGGCACGTGGCCGTGGCTGTCTGGCAAACGAAACGAACGCTACATTAAGCAAGATTCACGGAACCTGAACACCTGGTGGTAGGGTTTGGTGCGAAAGTGCTCCCACACAGCCCTTGCTGTGCCACAGACCTTCCCTATAGTCTTGGCATAGCAGCCACGTCACCACAGTGTCTGTTTTCCTCCCAATTCTTTCTCGTAATATATATACTGTAAGATCTTCAGGGCAGGGGTTGCTTTAGCATGAGAGAGGGACCTAGTACTGCAGTCAGTGTCTGACATGCTGTACCAAGAACAGCCGCAGAGAGCGAGCGGGAGGCTGGAAAAGGGAGAGGTACCAGTCGCAGGTGGCTTTCGGGAACAGTCACGTGCAAATCGTGTCTCGGTTCTGGATTTCAGAAGTCAATAAATTCAGTGGCGTTGGGGCTGATGCACCACCCCAAGTAAGAGAAAGGGAAGCGATGCGTTCAGCGTGGAGCTGATGGCCTGATCCCCTCGGCCCTGGCTCGTGGAGAAGGGGCTCCCACACGGATCGTGGGCCAGCTTTGCTTCTGGCCACGGAGGACTGGCTCAACAACGTCCTTCTTGCCCAGCCCCCTGCTTTGTACCTGGTATGTTTTCTGCCACAAGCTCTTTTTCCAGGCTCTTGATGCGGTTGTAGAATATGTTATCTGCTTCATCTGCGTTCTTAAGCTCTCCTTCAATTGTGAATTGCACATCTGGAGCAATGTTTTTGTTGCCGAGATGATAAAGAACCTCAGCAGTGCAGTTAACAGTGCTGTCCTGTTGCAGAGTTAATTACGTGTATTAACATTTGGTTAAATACATGCACAATATTGGTAATTTGCATTTCTAAAATACTTCTTTACGTAGTTGCCTTTTTCTCTGAGTCTGGCCCATAGGGATTTGTGATTATTTAAGACACTGTTAAATTGGTAAAGCCTTGGGTGGAGTTTTTTCTGCATGATTTGCAGTATTTAAGAATCTGAAAGATGACACCAAGTATTACTAGCTGGTGTGTCCACTGGCCGAAGCTAGGGTCAGCAGCGTAAAGTGTTGGCTTGTTATTACGTGTCTGTAGAGCCAACTGCTGCCCGCAGGATGTACGAATTAAACAAATCTGAACTCACTTTGTCGAGGATGTCTTCCAACACCAGTTCCAGGTGGTATTTATGCCCAACGTCATCGATGTCCTAAATAAGGAGAACATTAAGAACAGTTATTTGGGAAAATAGTCAATTGCTTTGCGTTGCGGAAAAGGTGGTGGTTACTGGGAAATGTGCTGCAGCAGTGCCATTCCCTGCAGGACCCATCCGGAGCTAGGATACCCTTGTATTTCATCCTGATGAGTTAAGATCAGTCATTTAACACACACCTCATTAGTACCTCCTCACCCATGTCTAGTCTTGTATGCTACTGCAGTGTCCTGTTTGGGGTCCCCACTATAACGTGCTGCTCGGTTAAATACTGAGGTAAAAGTCTTGATTTGGATTCTGTATATTAAGTCCATTTTGCGCTTCGTAATGAATTGTCACGTGTATTTTCCGGATGTCTATTGTAATGACCTAACCAAGCAGGTTAGCTCTGCTGTAACCCGTTTTAGCAGGTTCACCAGCAAATCCAGGCGAGCTCCGTCCTGGTACTCTGGACACGAGCAGCATCCTCCCGGGAGTGCTGGGGAGGTGAAGCAG